CTTCCCAGCCTCCAGAACTGTGGGGAAAGAAATTTCTGTTTAAGCCACGCCGCTTGTTACAGCAGCCTGAGCTGACTGAGACAGAGACAAAGTTCAGAGTGAAACAGAGAAGGTTGGAGCCAGGGCCCTGCTCTGAAGCTGCCATCCTTCTGGCCTGCGTAGAAGCAGGCCTGGGTTTTCCTAGCAGCGTAGGGACTGGTGTGGCAGTTGGCCATGCAGGCCCCTGCTGAGGCCTGGGCAGACTCCCCCATCCCGGCCACAGGACTGACCGCTAGCCAGGAGTGTCATGGAGCAGCCAGACCACGGCATTCAGGCTGGAACCGATCTCAGGTGTCCCCGCAGCCCTCCACCAACCTACGTCAGTCCCTCACTATAGAACAACCTGAAGCCGGGCTTTTTGAGCCAAAAAGCAAATGCTGGGTGTGTATTTGGGAGAAGCAGGAGACTGAAGAGGTTGCACATGCCACCAGCAACCTCAGTTCCTCCCTTTCCTTCCCACAGTCTGACTAGTGGGTTGTAAGGAGGAACCTTGAATGTGGCTTTGGTCTGTTGCTGGATGCCAACATCTGTTCCAAAGAAAAGAGAGCGTCCCTCTCTGTCACCACCAGGCCAAAACCCACCCCCAGCCCCGCCACCCAGCCAGATCCCCACATCAAGGCAGGGATGAGGGCAGGCCAGAAGGATAATTACTAAATTTTCTTGAGGAGAAAATGATTGTGGAAGCCCAGTAAAAACAGGTTCCTATCCATAGTAGATGTTGAGTTCACACAGAAATATCAGAGAGGGACCCTTGCAAAACAGCCAGAAGCTTCTCGTTTAGCCCCATCTCCCGTGGTTGGCCCAACCCATCCTAAGCTCTCCAGGGAGCCAAGGGCCATGGGGTCAGGGGAGCAGATGGTGACCCAGACGCCAGGAGCAGGGAAGGAATTTCGTATTTTCTTGTCCCAAGGGCTTCTTCTCCTCAATGGAGACCTGAACCAGAGAAAATTAGGTCACATAGCAGCAAGAGACATGATTTCCTGCAGAGAAAATGGAATTTCAGATAAGAACGTAGGCTTTCTGGACCTCAAGTCACCTGGTTTGGAGGAGCTTTTGTGTCCATTTTAGGAAAAGCCATTGGTGTGTTTGAAGGCGCACTGGACCAGAAGTCAGGACAAGTGGGTTATAGCGCTGGTAGGACGGCTTACTGGCTGGGCCACCTCAGATCGGACAAGTCTCTTAGCCTTCCAAGGACTCCATGTCTCACCTCTCAATCAGAGAACACACGTCCTGTGACAGAATCGTCAAGCACTCTGAATCCCTCGAGAACGTGTTGTGAAAAGCAGATGGTAGCACCTTGGGTGGCAGGAAGCAAATGCCGCCCCGAGCAGGCCGCAGTCCGATCGCCCCGGACGCACATGATCTGGCCTTGCTGTTCCACTCGGGCTGGTTACCGTGTCTGCAGTCACACCTCTGGCTTGCAACCCTGCGGAGAACGCGAGCCAGTCTATCCGCCCAACCAGTTTATCTCACCAGGTCAGGCCGACAGCTCTCCGCTCTGTGGACAGATTCGGGCAGCTGCGTGTAGGCAGAATTGCACGTGACGCCGAGCATCAGCCAGGAAGCCTGGTCTGCCACAGCCCCAGGGGTAGAGAAGACCCTGGGGGCTGAAGCCACAGATTTAAAGGGGGGCCGTTCCAAGCACACCGTGTGGAAGAGCCCACTGGCCACCACAGGCCTCAGAATAATAGCTGCTTGTCGTTATTATTATTTCTTGGGCCTGATACTTTACCGAGCTCTTCACAAATATTTCCTCTTTCAGTTCTCTGAAAACTTAAGAAGCACTTGCCATTCTACCTACGGGAAAGCCAGAGCTCAGAGAATTTAGGTAACGTGTCCAGAGTCACGCAGGTGAGAGAGCTGAAATTCGAATCCAGGCATATGCGATCTGTGAGACTGAGCTCCACAGCACCGTTCAGTGAGTCCCACTCTGTAGCCGGCATCAGATTCACCTATGAGGCTTGTTGAGACAAGGACTTCTGGGCCACAGCCTCAGAGAGTCTGACTGGGGAGGGCCTGAGAATCTGTATTTCTCACAGGTTCCCGGGTCCCACTGCCAGCCCTGGGGAGCAGCACGGAGAGCCCATGCGCTGTGCCTCGCGCCTCTCCCACCACAGAGGAGCCCAGCAGCAGGGCCGTGCTGGCCAGCAAAGGAGACCCACTGGCTGCTGAAAGGTCCTGCCTGTCCTCAATGTCTTTCCCAGAAGTGATTTCCTTCTTCGGAAGCCTCAGCTACTCGAGACACGGCAAGCACAGGGGCTGTCATCTTTCCGGAGAATGGTTTGCCGGCTTTCTCTCAGCTCCTCATTCACCCGATGCGTGATGCGTGCGGTCATTAGCCATAGAAGAGCCAGACTCTGGAAGGACGCTCTTGCAGAATCTCAGAACGCAAGGGACCTCAGGGACTCTCCTGCTGCAGCCTCTGTAGGGCTGTCGACAGAGCCTGCAGGGTAGGTTGTCAGTGATTCCCGGGGTAAGGTGTGCGTCCTGTGATAGGAGACAGTCTTGCTAGCCTGGCCCAAGGGTCTTCAAAGGCTCTGTCCCCACCTTGTTCTGTAGACTAGCTCGCTGCTCTCTGGCTGTTCACATCAAGTTCAGCCCTCCCCACTCGCAAATGCTTGCATTTCTGTCTTAGCCTCCTGTAGCGGGTTCAATGTAGTGAAATAAAAAAGATGTCCACATTCTAACTTCTGTGTAAAGGTCTCAGATACAGGACTATAGCCAAAATGCAGTCTGCACAGGGAACAGCAGACTGTTCCAAAGACAAGCTTTTCCTACTTGGCACTGTTCTGAAATACCAGCTGACATTAAGTAACAGAAGTTTGTCAGGAGAAGGACAAGAAACACCTTCAATATTTTTATGGACTTCAGACAGACAGACAGACACAGAGTCACTGAGGACTCCGCACCTGAGCCCACGTGTCCTCATCATTCCCATCAGGCCACCACCAGAGAGGCTCAGTGTCACTGCCGGGGCAGGGGCAGACCCCCACTCATACCCCTAACAGGGTCATCTCCGCTCACCTCCACCCCACGTGAGCCCTTTCCTCCACGGCCACGCCTGGACCTTGTCATGACCTGGAGCTCTTTGAGCAGAAGGACATGGCCACTCCTAGCTCTTAGAGACCAACCGTAACCTCGTATCTCAATCTTCCTCCTTCCTGAACGTTCACTTTCATGCGTGCACCTCACCTGTTCAGCACCTCCTCCAAGGCTCCCACTTCCTGTGTTCTCCCCACCTCCCACCTTGGAGCTTGCCTTCACATCCTCCCCGCCGCAATGTGGATCCCATGGACCACCACTAGCTTTCTGGTTATGCTTCCAACTCTTATCCTGTTGCCATTATTTTGGCCCTCGCCTGGCAGAACCCCGACTCTGGATGATTTCGGTCCATCTGATTTCTCCCTTCTTATTCTTGAACTTCAAAACATGGCAAGAGACCATCATTACTCAAAGGCAGACTGAGGTCACTGCAAATGAATACAAGGTCTCCCAATTCAGAAGGGCGTCCGTGCTATCCCGCAAGCCTTTTACAGGCCCCTAGTGAGCAGCTCAGTCCCAGGCCATGGCTATCACACTCAGAACATTGGTGCCAGTGACAAGGTCGTCCCTTCTTCTGAGCTAGGCAGAACGCAGAGCTGGGAGTGGGGCTGGCACTGTCTTTGCCAAATTCGAAACTGCTCACCTGTATTTGTTCTGCCTTTTCTCTTCCCTCCAGTAGCAGTTTGAGAACTTTCTTCTGGTCACCGTTTTCACTGACAACCTTGCCTTTACTTGATAGAGAGGGTAGAGACCACCGAGGGGCTCTCCATCAACTTCCCTTCCCCATTCTTAACAGACGTTCATCCATCTCCTCTTTCTTCTATTCTCAAAAGAAGTGTCCCTCCTGCTCCTTAAGACAAATCCCGTCCCCCCTTCCTCTTCCCTTAATCACCCTTCTAGTCCTTTCTCTACCCATCCCACCACCTCACCAAGATTTAAATATGTTTAAGCCTCTCTCATTAAAACAAGCCTTCTGCGCAACCTTACACAGAACCCAGCCCCTGCCCTATTGCTCTTCTTTCCTTCGGCCAATACAACAACATTAGTATTATAAATCTTTTCAAATAAGAATAGAATAGCTCATGTACCATATTATTACCAGCCAGATTTCTGGAAAGAGCGATGGGTCTTACTTCCCCCTCCATCCATAACCCCGGACATCCGGGGTTCCCTTCACTACTCCAGTGAAATTTCTCCCTTGAGTGTTTCCATCGACCTGATAGCCAAATCTAGCCAACACATTTCAGTTTGCAGCTCCCTACTGACTCCTTCCCCCTTCAATTCTCTCCTTCCTTGCTTATATGTCCTAGTTGCTCCTGGTTTTACTGCTACCACTCAGGTTCCTCTGTGGCTCCTCTTAGTTCTGTTTGTCCCTTAAATGTTCTAGCGGATCATATCTTTACCTTCTTCCCTCCCACTCTTCACCCAAGCATATCCTGAACTCCTTCCCTGCAAATTGAGTAAAACACCTCTCTCATGTTTCTAGAACCCGTAACCCACCAAATTATACTTGCCTGGCTAATTATTGGCCTTCTGGAACAAACTATGAATTCCTTAAGGTCAGGGACCCTATTTTTACTGAACCAGAGCCCTACCTAGTTTTTAGCTCACAGTAAGGCCTGATAAATAAGTGTTGAATGAATGTTCTCCAGTCCTCCAATACTAAGGTCAAGAGAACAGGCCCATTATCCCCCCACACACACAAAATCACATCACTGGAGCTTGTTAATGGCTGCCTCCAGCTTGGCTCTGAGGAGGAGCAAAGAGAAACAACTCTTGATTGTCCCTGCTAATTGGGGCATGAATAGGGAAAAGTCTAGAGAGTTCCCAAGCCTCATTTAAGCACAGAATTTAAGAGCCTCCCCAAATGGCAAAAGCCATTCATGGCAGAGGGATAGATTTGTGTCTCAGATACTCACCCTGATCCTGCTTCCCAAGTCACAGAGGCCACAATAAGACCTGTAGAAGGGAAAGAAGACGAAGAACTGAGCACAGAGATTTTTCATAAATCCCAAGGCACGGACTGATGTTATTTCACCATATGAATTCCCTCTGAGTCCAGTTGACCCGGTCTCAGGTCAGCTAGTTTCTTTATAAGGTCTGGGTGTGGATCGCTACTCCACTGGCCTGGTTAATTTATCAATTTTTCTGTGGAGTTCAGCCGTGAGATCCAGGCCAAGCTGTCCTCCAACTGACGCTAGGGCATCCTGGATCAGTTCTGGGGGCCATAAAACTGGAGGCCAACTGGGAAGTGACTAAGCTGCCGCACAGAATGAAAGTAACTGCCACCAACAGAGGGCCTACTATGTGCCAGGCACCGACCCAGGCTCCCTGCATAATCTCAGTCTTCCAGCGAGCCAGCGAAGCAGCTTATTATTGATAATAAGGGCACCCAGGACACCCATACCATCCTCATCCCTCCATATGGCTGCTTGAACGTATGCAGAAAGCGCTCTCATCAGCCTCATCTTTGGTTTGTATAAAATTCCATGAGCTAGGCTCAGGGTGTCATTCCCACTTTACAAAGAGAAAACAGCCGCAGAGAGCATCTGTCTAGGATCACACAGGTGATGGGGGCAGATGTGGGCCTGCCTGCATTGTGTGCCTCCCGGGTCAGGGCTCCCTTTGCACCGAAGCTGTCCAGAGAGTGTTTGGCCCCCACTCCCCATGGCTGCAGGGGCCAGGTCCTGCCCAAACGGAGGGCAAGAGCCCCGAAATGATCTCATTTCTGCCACTGATAATCTCTGTAAGACACAAACTCTCCAAGCTGTGGTTTCTTCATTGGGAAGCTGGCCTTGGTAATACCAGCCCCAGCTTCTCTGTGGAGTTTTCGAGAATCAGATGTGATTAGGTCAGTGAAGACATTTTGAAAAGTACAACCTGGAGACAAGTGTTATTATTATTGTCCCCACAAGTGTTATTATTAGGGGCATGGTGTTCAGAGGAAAGCTGAATTTCTTTGCTTGTAAGCATTTTAAGGTGACCTTTTAAACAAGGAGCCAGCTGGGTTCTTAGTTCACAGTAGTTTAGAATGTTTTAATGCAGAGGTTTTGAAAGCATAGATGAATCCAGAGAGAAATATTTGCAGGCACTGTTCCCAGAAACAGCCAGAGGAGAAACCGGAGCTCCCGTGGGGAGCGGGGTTGGGGTCAGGAAGCTGGCCCAGATTTCTGCTGCCACCAGCTTCTCATCCCCAGAGGCAGGAAATCCTTGCAGCTCCTGGCCCTTTCCCACACTGACTTCCTGCTTCCCCCTGCCGGAGCGCACGCTCTCCGCAGGCCTTTGGATCTTGAACTAGGGGGTGGGGAGGAAGAGGGAGGAGGGTCTGTGTGCGGAAATGCTCCGCCCAGGGGGAGAAGGAGCCGGTGTGGGAGAGGGCTGCGGGGCTCTTCGGCTAGAGTGGGCGGGGCGTCTTGTATGTTTCCTATCCCGCGCTGTATACAAGGGACTGCCAGGGAGCCCTACCTGTGTCTGTTTCAGAATGAGGGCACCCGGGCTCAGGGCTGGGCAGGGTGTCACGGCGGGACTATGGCACAGCTCCTAAGTGGTGGTGCTAGATTTAGGACGCGTCTAGTCAGCTCTATACTCACGGCAAACCTCTTCTTCCTGAGGATCTCTGGGTGTTTGGTGAAGGATAGGCAGACCCAACACGGTGCGTGGTGCTTGACACCCCCTCCCCTGGCAATATTCTGAACACGAATGCTTACTCTCCATGCCCCAAGCTCTGGATTTGCCTCTTCCCTCTGGCCTTCTGTCTTGCTCTTCTTGAACATTCAGCACAGTTACACAATTCCCAAACATACCAAACATGTCTCCCTGCCCTGGTTCCCACCCAGCCTCCCTCCCAGTGCTCACCACTCTGCCCCGCCCCCACACCCCAGTGGGCTGGCAACTATCTACCGTTAAATCATAAACTGAGGCATATAAAAAATTTTGAGTTTATTTGAGCAGTATTGATTTGAATAGGATAGTGCCAAACTAGACGTGGTTACGAGTGCTCCAATGACAGGAGTTCAGGGAAAGACTTTTCTAGAGAAAAGGCAGACACGAAGCAAGGAGATTATTGATCGGCTCTAGCTTAAAGCCCAGTTGGCTGTTTGTGATTGCTGGCCCTTGGGTTTTGATTCCGTAACCTTGAGGCCTTGACGGGCTTCGATTTTGGTTTGTTTATGCGGGTACCACACCAGTCTAATGGCCTCCTAATGGCCTCCTGGTTTGATTAACTTAACACGACTCATCTTTTAAGGCTCAGACGAAGGGTTGTTACTTCTGTGATGCCCTTCCTCATTCCACCATCCGCGCAAAGGTAGAATTGCTTCTTTCTTCCTTTAAGCTCCCACCGTGATAGGTACAATTGTCCACCATAATATGTATAATATTTTATTGTTCTTGTATTTACAGGTCTACCTCTCCCAAGAGATTATAAACCCTTTAGGACAGGAACCATAGATTATAGATTTTGGAATTTCCACAACTTGTCACAGGGGACTTACTAAGTGTTATTTTAATTTGAAAACGTGTTAGTGCACAGATGCTATATTACCACATTTTCACTGTAAACATTTCAAGCAATAAAGGTAGTAAGAAATTCCTTCTTGCCCCCAATTCAATCTCATTACCCTTCCCAGAGTAATCAATATGGCATACATCTTTCCAGACCTTTCTTTATGCCTTTACATACCTCATCTACAAACACAGAGAAATATATAAGGTAGTTAAGTAAAAATAGAATTATACTATTAATTGTTTTACAATTAATTACAATGCCTTTTTTCACTTAAAAATACCTTCCAGACATCTTAGCGAGTCAACATGTTTAAGCCTGCTCAATTCACTTTATTTATTTATTTTTTTAATTTTTAAGTCGATTCCACGCCCAACATGGAGCTTGAACTCAAAACCCTGAGATCAAAAGTCACATGCTCTGCCAACTGAGCCAGCTAGGTGCCCCTTCCCAATCCTTTTTAAATGCCAGTATTCCACAGTATGAGGAGACCATAGTTTGATTTAGCTAGTTCTCTACTAATGGACATTTATGTGGTTTCTAATATTTTGCTATTATAAACAATACTGCAGTGAATATCCCAGGACATGCCTCTCAGAACACAAGGCTGAGTATTTCTCTCTGTCAGCATCTCTCAACCAAACTGTATACTGGACTCACCAGGGGAGCCTTTAAAAAAATGAACATACATGCAAAAATCCTCAACAGAGGATTAATAAATCAAATCCAACAATATATAAAGGGAATTATACACTACAACCCAGTAGATGCAAAGCTGGTTCAACATTCCAAATCAATTAGTAGAACACATCACATCAACAAGCTAAAGAAGAAAAATCATAGGAGCATAGCAATTGATACAGAAAAGTGTTTGACAAAATCCAACACCCAATCATGATAAGAAGTCTCAGAAAACTAAGTATAGAGGGAAGCTTCCTTGGCTTGATAAAGAATATCTAAAAACACATAGCTGCAGCTAACATCAGACTTAACAGTGAGAAACTAGATGCTTTTCCCCTACAGTCAAGAGTAGGCAAGGATGTCTTCAATCACCCCTCCTTTCAACATCACACTGCAAGTCTGAGCTAATGTCATAAAGCAGGAAAATGAAATAAAAGGAATACAGAAAGAAATAAAGAAATAAAACTTTCTTTGTTTGCAGATGACATGATTGTCTGTGTAAAATCCCAAAGACTCCCCCAAAAAACTCCTGAAACTAATAAATGACTCTAGTAAACTTGTGAGATACAAAGTCAACTGCTTCTGTATATACCAACAATCAATGATTGGAATTTATGTAAAGGAACACTATTTACATTAGCACCAAAAAAAAAAAGAAAGAAAGAAAAAAGAAAATACTTAGCTGTAAAATCTAACCAAGTTTATAAAAGGTATATACGAGGAAAACCACCAAATGCTGATGATAAAGATGTAAGAAGAACTATATAAATAGAGAAATACTCTGTGTTTACGGGTAAGAAGCCTTAATAATGTTAAAATGTCAGTTCTTCCTGGCTTGATCTATAGATTCGATGCAATCTCAATCAAAATCCCAGCAACTTATTTGTGCATATCAAGAAACTGGTTCTAAACTTTATATGGGAAGGGAAAACACAGAAGAGCTCACACAATACTGAGAAAGAACAAAGTGGGTGAACGAACTCTACCCAACCTGAAGCCTCACTGTAAAACTACAGCCATCAAGACAGTGTGGTGTTGGTAAAAGAACAGATGAATAGATCAATGGGACAGAATAGAGAGGCCAAAAATAGACCCAGGCAAATACAGTCCACTGATCTTTGACAAAGGAGCCAGGCAATTCAATGGAGAAAGGAAAGTCCTGGAATAAATGGTGCTGAACGACAGGACATCCACATGCAAAAAATAAATAAATAAATAAAATTAAAAAAAAAAAAAAAAAAGAATCCAAACCTAGGCTTTACATCTTTCACAAAAATGAGCTCAAAATATGTCATAGACCTCAACGTAAAGTGCAAAACTATAAAATTTCTAGAAGATAGCATGGGAGAAAATCTGGGTGAGCTTGGATACAACTCCGAAAGTACAATTGTGTAAATACAACACCAAAAGCACAATTCCAGAAAGGAAATGTTGACAAGCTGGGTGTCATTAAAATAAAAAACTTCGGCTCCTCGAGAGACACCGTTAATAGAATGAAAAGAGAAGCACAGATGGGGAGGTAACTCTCTGCAAAACACGTATCCGTTACCTGAAATACACAAAGAACTCCTAAAACTCAACAATAAGAAAACAATCTGATATTTAAGTGGCCAAAAATCTACACAGGCACCTCACTGCGGAGGACATACAGATGAGAAATAAACAGATGAAAACACACCCGACATCAAATGTCATTGGGGAACTGCAAATCAAAACAAGGGAGCACTACAGACCTATTAGGATGGCTGAAATCCAAAACACTGACAGCAGCAGATGCCTGCGAGGATGTGGCACAACAGAAACTCTCGTTTATTGCTGTTGGGAATGCAAAATGGCACAGCCACTCTCAAAGACAATTTGGCAGTTTCTTGCAAAGCTCAACATAAGCTTGCCATATGATCCAGCAATCATCCTGCTTCTAGATATTTACCCAAAGGAGTTGAAAACCTATGTCCACACAAAACCTGCACATGAATGTTTATAGCAGCTTTAAACTTGGAAGCAACAAAGATGTCCTTCAATAGGTGAAGGAGTAGATGAAATCCACCCAAATGGAATATAACTCAGCCAGAAAGAGAAATGAGCTATCAAGCAGTGAAAAGACATGGAGGAGGGACACCTGGGTGGCTCAGTCCGTTAAACAGTTGCCTTGGGCTCAGGTCATGATGCCAGGGTCCTGGGATCGAGCCCCGTGTCGGGCTCCCTGTTTAGCGTGGAGTCTGCTTCTCCCTCTCTCTCTGCCCCTCGCCCTGCTTATGTTCTGTCTCTCTCTCTCTCAAATAAATAAAATCTTAAAAAAACAAAAACAAAAAACATGGAGGGACCTTGAGAGCTAAGTGGCAGAAATCAGTCTGAAAAGGCTACATACTGTATGATTCCAGTTTTATGACATCATTATCATCATCATCATCATCATCATCATCATCATCATGTTTGCAGTCCCAAACCGAGTTCAGAAAGCACCATCACAGCAGTGATCTGATCTGATCCTCACAAGAATCCCACAGATCAGGCAGGGCAGAGATCTGGATCCCAGTAACAGATGGGGAAGCTGTGATTGGGAGACTGCCCTGCCCGCCATCCCATAGCCCTCTTTCCATCCCAGATCTTAATTATACCTCACTGCCTCCAGTCTGGCCTCCAAGGCCTTGACTGGACCGCAGACAATGGTGGGGCTGACCATGGGACTTGATGTGTCATCCTGGAGAGGAGTGCAGAACACAGTGTCTAACAGTTGGATTCAGTCGTTCCCGTTCTCTCTGGGCTCTGGATCAGCGCAGCTCTCCCTCGATCCCTCCCTGTGGCAGGCATTAACACTCACCGCACGCAGAGACAAGGCAGCAGGACGCTTATTATTTATGCACTGAGAGCACATCAGCAGACTTCTTCTTCTCCATCTGCCTGGAAGAGTCGGGTCAAGATATGCCAACCTCTGCCCCATCAGCCCTGGGGGCTGATTCACTGACCACACACATGCCTGCTTGCAGAAAGCAGAAAGCAGATTTTCTGTAGGTAGGAGAGTTCCCCTGAGGTATCCATAGATGCACACAATGGAGATCTGCTAAAGAAATGTACAGACGGGCAGGAAATGGGAAAGAGGAGAGAGAGTCTCTTTCGCTAGCCTCTGGTCGCCATGGCAACAATGTCATCTTAAAAGAAGCACAAATGATCATTTTAAGTCAGAGGGGTTTTGTTTGTATGTTTGTTGCTTTTTTAAATAACTATGAACACATACTGGATTCCAGCCTCTTCCATAGATGGAATTTAGGAATAGATGAGCGGAAGGATGAGTCTGCACCCCAGCTCCACACCCAGGCATAGAGTCTTGGGGACAAATATGTCTCTGAGACTGGAAGCCCCTAATTTAGTCCCCTGGCTCAGAACATACTTTTGAAAATAGTTGAGCATGTTGGTGGGAATGGAAAGAGCCATATCTTGAAAGCCCATACAGGGAATGACTGTGGAGGGTGGGATTGGCCTTTGCAGAAGGGCTCACCCCCCTCAGTG